AGCTACCAAAACAACTACTTCAAAGACCTGAAAATCTAAAGCTAATAACTTTATATTAGTCTTAGAGCAGTTCCTAGAAGAGCATAATTTGTCAGCTAACTCCACCCTAGAACAATTAAGCAATCATGCTCCTGAACTTAATGCTTTGCTTCCTGATGATTGGATAGCCATAGATGTATTAAAGTTGCCCTTGCCAACAGTACTAATAATAGACATTCATTTAGTAAAAAGAAGATAGATACTTTCATGCTGGATAAAAGAAAGGAAAACCTCACTATAGAGGGAAGGGTGGAATACTGTACTAAGGCTAATGATTTTGTAGACATTATCGCCAATCATTGAGCAGTGGGTCTGAAAAATAAAGATGAAAATGAAGTTGTTGCTGGTGTCTTACGTCAGTTAACATTCCGTGTGAAGTTAGCAGAAGGTGGTATAGATCCTACAATTATTGAAAAATTTGCCAAAGATAAGAAACTTATTCAAGATTCTAATAAAATTCAGAAGAAACAAACTAAGAAATGAATGGCTAATCCAGACAGAATTCCTATATATTTCTCCTTAGCAAGTATGAGTAAAAGGCTTCAAAACATTAATATTTCCAAAATTCCTACTAAAAAGGATCTTGTGGATGTGATAGTGATGTTGAGTATGAGACCAAGAGAAGTAAGATCTCTTCAAATTAATCATTATGAACCAGATCCTTCAAATATTCTAGCATAGTATAAAGAAGGCTATTCTTGGTACTGCACAGGCTATTTAAAAAACAGAGGAGAAAGAAGGAGAATCCTAAGCCCTGACCTTTTCTTTCTATGGAGAAGAATCCAAAACGTGCAAGGAAATTACTCATCTGGATTCGAGATGCAATTAAGGCTAAAAAGTTACGTGATCCTGTCTATACTAAAAGTGAAATATGAAATGCTTGGCTATTTAATGAATTTTTAAAGCAAGAGCCTTATAAAACTATACCTAAAAATTAAGAGATTATGAAAGTAAACACGTTTCCAGAATTCATGGTGATAAGAACCCAACTCACTAGCATCTTAAACTGTTTTCAAGAATCGCATTAAGGTAAGAATCTGATCGCCTTGATGCAGGTGATAATTATGCTATAGGTGATACAGAATCAGAAGAGTCCAGCTCTGAATCTAACCACAACTCAAAACTAAGATCAGAGTCTGTGAAAAATGATGAAATTTCTGAAATCATCAATATGTATAGCTACTAATAACGCGTCTTCTTCAAATTTTGCTAGATCTATCACTAATATGCGTAATTTTTCCTAAAAGTGCTTTGCTATTTTTTTGAGACCGCACGGTCCTGAAAATCTGATGACTTTATAAATTTCTCTTGGTAAAATGTCACAGTCTCTATGTATATATACTAACTAATTTTTGAATATTTCACTTCTTGTATAAAATTTATCAATCATGTCATCTGAGCTTGAAGTATTAAAACAGTGTATCATTAAACTTGAGGCTAAGAATGCTGAGCTTGAAATAGAAAAAGCTGAACTTTTAAAGCAGATTGTGAAGAAGAATACTAGACGTGATGTTAGAGTTGAGGAACTGAAGCAAAAAAATAAGGAGCTTGAGACCAGACTTGCGATAGTGAAACAGGCTTCCTTACTAGTAAAAGAGCAATTGTATAATGATAATCCTTCTGACAATAGTACATCTAATTTTAATTCAGTTACAGAGTATTATGAGAAATCATTGGTGGATGTGAAAATAGATAATTCTTCTGAAGAGATTTGCTATAATAAACAAAAATTGGTAGCAACGGTATCTGCCAACTCTGCGAAGTGCCTTAACAGCAAATTATTGAAAGAAAAAGATATAGATAGTTTCTTGCTTGAGGCTCATAAGAAAATCATTAGTAGTAAAATAAAGCAGAGAAAGCGAAAGGAGAAACTTCAACGTGAATCGACAGTTGTCAGCTCATCAAACAACTCTGAAAAGACAATCAAGTGATTTCGGAAATTTTGGGAGAGTTCGAAAAAACTATTTCCTCAGGAAATAATCTGAGTTATGTAATTTCAGGTGAACCAGATCTTCTATCTGTGAAGCAAGATGATAACATAATTCAAGAGGAATCGATTGATGAAAATCAAATTGTAGAACAAGGCCTAATATATGAATTATGTATACCCATATTACCTGAAGAGGTTCCAGATAGACAAGATAATATCGAAATTATCAGCTCTTGTGTTAGTTTAGAGAATATGATTTCAGGTTCTACCTAGTACTTATCTTATTTATTTGAAACAGCAATAAAATCCAATTAACAGGAAATATTAGATTGGCATAATTATTCCTTTGAATTTGAAAGTAAGGTAGATGCTCTTACGGCTGATAGTAGAATTAAAGATAAAATGGCAAGATCAATGATTTACAAAGAAATGAAACCATTTTTTCCTACTAAAATCACACAAGCTAACTTGCACAAAAAAACTCATAGGGCCAGAAAACATCTCATGTTATTCGGGAAAAATGGGGTGTAAATAGATAAAATTAAGCTGGTCTCATATAGCGCAACTAAAATTTTGAAACTAACTAACGCACAAATCCAAAATATCATAAATCAAGTAAAAAATATATTAACTAATATCAGAGTCATATGATTTTAAAAACCGTTCCCTCAGGAAACAATCAGATTAAGGCTAAGATAAGTACATCAGCAAATATATTACCTTCATCTCAATTCAAGAGTCCATTCCATGACCGCTCCTATTTTCACAACAAAACATTGGACCAATATCCTGCTTTATATAGAGAATTTAGTAGTAAAATTTTCGATTATTATGGCATTACTAATGAGACATCATGCCTATTATGCAGTTTAGATCATGATGATAAGGAAAGTATAGAAGGTATATATAAATCTGAATCTTATTTTATTAAATGTGAACAGTGTGAAATTTAAATAACTGCATAATCTCATTACCCCTTTTTTATATTATAGATATTTCGAAAGATAATTTAATTATTTTTTTGAAAATATGATAAGAAATAGTAGACAGTTTTCTATTCAGGAATTTAAATTGATCTGTAATCATATAAAAAGACAATATGAGCAAGTCTGATAAAGTATTAACCTTGAGTATCTGGATTGATTTGCTAAATTAACTGGTTTACCATGCGTTTTGATAGATAAGATTCAGTTCAACTTATACAAAAAATATAAAAAAGAAACTGGGTATGATCTATGGCAATTATCAGAAGTGCATACATCAGAAGCCAACCTTCTCGTAAATTCAAAACCAGAAAACAAAGCATCCTATTTATCTTTTCCTAGGTAATGTGAAGAAAATAGGCCTATCACTTTCGAAGCTAAACCTGATCTAGAATTAATTATCAAGTCTATCTTAGAATATTTCACATACCTGAAATTCTGAAATAGTTTCAGAAGGATTAATAATTATAATTTTGCATCACCTCAATCATGGAGCTCACCATGTCCTATTTGCGATGGAAAACATGGGAATTATGGATTACATGACAAATGGTATAGAACAGAATATTAACTTAGCTGTAACTCTTCAAGCAATAAATTCAAGTTCACGATCGTAACCACATGATGGCAGATCAATAGCAAAAGATATTATTTTGCAGTATGAACAAAATATGTATTTTTTTAATTACAATCAATAAAGCTAAGGCACATTAAGTGCAATATATTTACATGTCAATATCTAGTGTGGGATTTTGTTTATATGCTAATATTTCTCAGTTTTTCATATGAGGATCCAGATCCTATAAATGCGTAGTATCATTAGAACATTGCACTATATAATTTATTCTCGAAACTTCCTGCATATATTCAAGCTTTTGCATGTATTAATAATAAAAAGTCACCCTTGTTAATCCAGGGACACGATCCCTGTGTCTATTATAATTTTAGAGAGCATCCATTGATCTGATTTCGTAATGAATCATAATAACGTAATTTCCCAAAGATTTATTCTGAAAATCAAACCTTAAACCCATTACAAGTTATAAAAAGAAGTTGAGACAGTTAGTGAACCCTTTTATCCGCCTTGTGCAAGTAAAACAAAAAAATCAAAACCAATCTAACATACCATTATTTACATCATTAATATCCTTGATCAAACGAACTCCTATATTCCGCAAAACAATAATAAGGTATGTTGATTTTATTGCTCGGTTAGCTTTTTGAGACATATCATCATGATGTTAATCAATTTTTCTGTCTTTATAGATATTCCAAAATAAAATGGATATATTACTCTTTTTGCTATGTATTGGCATTCTGATCTTCGCTGAGAAAATCTTTGACAATCACGCATACAATAGACGCAGTGAAACTATTCACATAAATCTCATCACATGCCCTAACATCACAAAATTTGGCGCAATGTGTTAACAATAATAATTTTTGGTATTTGGCGCAGTATCATACGGGCAATAAAAAAATCGAATTATCTTTATTGTAATGCATTAAGTAATAAATTTCAGGCGGAATAGAACGTTGCGAAAATTAATAGTAATGGTAAGTGTGAATCAGAAATATTTTTTTTTACCTCAGTTGCTAATCTCCCAAATTTATCCTGTAGATTCGAAATTACTTAATCTTGGAGAAGTTTCCTTAATCTTTTATATAATCTATGCTGGTAAGAGTAATATAGATAGACGAAAATTCTGTAGATATGTGCGGAAAAATTTATTTTGGAAAAGAGTGTGGGGTGAGAATTTCGTAGTTAGCAATAATGATAGAAATAAATTAGCTATAGATATTTTTTATAAAATGAGAAGAGCAAAGAAATAACTTGATGCTGGGACTCGCATTAAATGGCCTAGGATCTGCGTACTCCCTCCCTCTTTAATAGCATCATATATCGTTCGCTTCTCTTAACATTTTTTTGGTTCGCTATGTATCTGGAAAATCATTAATAAAGTTTCAAAAAAATAAATCCACAATTCACTTCTAACACTTTTCCTCGTGATAATTGTTTTTTCTGCCTAGTCTTTATACGATTAAAAATGTGCACCACCACACCTAAAGTATGAAAGTTATATATACTAACTTTTCAGTTTTTTGCGAGCTTAACAATGATAACTTTTCATCTCTTTTTTACAGATACATAAATATTTCGAGAGAAAAGTGTCAGAATGGAATATTCTTGGATTCCTCAGTGAATGTAACATCGAACCGTTTAGAAACAAAATAAAGTGTTACCTTTTATCTCTTGAAGATATCGCCAGTACAGAGGAAGGCCGAAGGAAGGAAAAGGTGCGACAGCTAATTAGGAATTACAGACAGGCAAGTTTTTGTGAAAAATTTATTGTTGAACTTGCAAGTGGCATGGTAGAGGACCCTACGAGCTTTTCTATCATTCAAGTCCTACGGGCTGAGCCACAAAAGTTAGTGTTGAAGCACAGGTGACCCTACGAGCTTGCCTGTGTTCAAGTCTTATGAGCCGACCTAATACTAGCCTCTCCAGAACACAGATGACCCTACAAGCTTGTCTGATGTTAAGCAGACTACAGATAACCCTATGAGCTTGTCTGATCGAACTGAATCACGAACACAGATGATCCTACGAGCTTGTCTGTTGTTACGTCTTCGATCTTGCCTGGGGGGATGAAAATCAGAATAAATGAGAACGTGATATTAAGGATATTGCTGATCCAAAATCTTCTATTTCAGGGACCAGACAATAACCTACAGTGCGAAACCTTTATAATAGACAATTGAAAATCTTAAATAAAATTTGATCCTGTGATTTGATTTTAATTTAG